TTTAAGCTACCTTGTACCTTTGGTAGATACGTAACGGGCTTCTTATAAATGCACCCTAACGTAAACGTTACCAAGTGTACTTATTAGACGTAATCTGCTTAGTATCCCTCTTATAGATACGTTCTTATGCACGCTATCATGAACGTTGCGTAGTGTAATTATAGACGGAATCTACCTGGCATTCATTTGTTAGATACGTACGTAAGGGGTTCTTATGCGCGCCAACGTAAACGTTGCTTTGTGTAATTYTTAGACATAATCTACRTGGCATTCCTTTGTTAGATACGTARGTAAAGCGTTCTTATGCGCGCTAACGTAAACGTTGCCTAGTGTACCATACTATTAGACGTAATCCACTTGGCATTGACGTTTTATAGATACGTAAGGGATTCTTATCCACGCTAACGTTACCTAATYTTCTTGYTGGAAATTAGCTTRGGCGTAGGTTYTCTAAAGTGCGTAGTTGTTTATCAAGCTAGAAACGTTTACCTCGTTGAACTTGTTTCAAATGTGTGCAACGGGAAGAAGGATTGTCAAAGTAAATAACTCAGGGCTCTTCTTAGATGTGTTGACTATCTTAKAGCTTACGATTCCTTTCCATTGGTTTAATTGATCGAAGTGAATAACCATAAGGTATTTATGACCAAGAGTAGTATTATTAGTGCATAAGTACATCACTTGTATAAGMACCATCTTAGTATTCAAGCGTAGTTAAGTGTATTTTCGGTCGAACTGGTAAACAACACTATAGTGTACTTGTACGAGTTTATGTTGCAGATAAAGCAGCCTACGGCAGCGAAAACACGACTTTTATAGCTAGAGCGTCGAAAAACAAGCACAACCTCGTCAGTCTTAGAAATTAAACGAAAAAAATGAAAATTGAACAAGGAAGGAATAGAACTGAAAAGAATTTCGACGAAAATGTTCTCTAGTTTWCTTGATTATGAAACGATATATTTTCAGTATCAGATAAAGAAAACGCCTTTTTTATAGCAGAAGTTGAATGTATCACCAAACTAGAAGATAATGCGCGAAGACAGTTTTGACACCTTGCAAMATTGACCCTAAACACTTTTTCATATGAAATGGGTTAGAATAGATATCTTTCATTGTCAACAATTTCAAAGATAAACCGACGGACTMTAGGATTCCCAAATCAGATGTTTTTAATCATTGCTTTTTTTCCTAATGTTCGTGTTCTTCTTTGTATCATTAGATTGTATTGTTAAAGACTGGTCAATACGTGATATTTCTAAAGAGATCTATCTGCGTTATCAAGCCAACGATAGCTAACTTATGGTTTAACAAATCGTTATCTTATGATTGAAGAGGAGCAAATGGGATTTACATTAGCAGAAAGGCCCACTGTCAATGTATAATTGATAAGATACCAGAAATCGATCCTTTCATATCAGATTTTTTTATGCTACTTACTGAATGTTGGTTTAATGGATGAATGGACGAATGAATAAATGAATGAATGATCGATGTACAGACCTATAGGTAGATGAAYCAGTACTGGATCGATGAATGGACGACTAACTGACTGGGTGACTGAATGAAAAAATAACTGACTAAATTACTGACTGACTGACTGATTGACGGACTGAACAATGAATGGATGACTGACTGGCTGGGTGAATAAGTGAGTGACCGAATGAATAAATGACTGACTGACTGACTGAATATAACTGAAGGACTGAACAATGAATGGGTGAACGGGTGAATGATTGACTGATTGACTGACTGACTACCGACTTTCTGACTGACTGACTCGCTGAAAGACTCTTTGATTGACTCAATTACTGACTCACTGACTGATCCAATAAAAGCATTTTTATTCAGTTATCTAAAAACTTGAGTACCATTAAAAGCTAGCAATTGAAAACAATATTTCAAAGTATATCCAATATAGCACTGTGCTATACAATATATAAAATATAGATTACGAATCTGTCACGAGACAAAGCAATAACGGAGTAAAAGTACACACGCACTTGGCGCATGGAAATGACGTCATAGACTTGCTTTAAACATAGTTATTGCAGTATAAAAAGGGCGTTATACATCATTATGTTGTTATACTATTATATACCAGTATATGTCTAGCTGTATACGTTGGTACATTATTGCATCAAGAGGTTTTGTAACACTTTGACGCAATCTCATGATTTTAGTGGAGTAATTGTGCGATTTTTGGTTTATCACATTCAGCATCGAACGTTCAGCTTAGCACTGACTAGCGTCAATTGAATCTGTCCGCCTTATCATCAGGATTAAGCTGCTTTATACTGAGATTTAGCCTTATACTTACAGATTGGCGTTCCTTTGACTTTCAGGTAAAGCTACTCAATACAGCAGAAAATATCGTCTATAATAAGCGAATAACAAGCTAAAAATATAATTAAAKAGCTCAGAAATATCTTGCGCATCAAGTATGGTATCTAAATCGAATGTTCTTTTCAGTTGTCGTGAATATCGCACAAAAACGCAATTAGAGCGCTTATTTCTTGTGTTAACACATTTAGCTGCTGCAGTTGTTATTGTTGCTGCTGTTTTTGCTAATGTTGTTGTTCTTACCTAGCTCTATCAGGCAATTTTCGATAAATTATTATAGATTTTGGACATAAAGAAATTTTAAAACGTAGAGAGAAAATCATAAGTTGCGGCAAAAGTCATTTCATTTCGTTTGTATTTTGTTGCTTTTCACTGATATTAATTAAGGGTTTATCTTGTGTCARTCATGACGGCTTTCTGACAGCGGATAATTCAAAGAAGTTACTTTTATTTTTAGATACAAAAGAWATTAATGGGAATTTTATCTCTGTATGTTAAAAAGGAAATGGGTTGAAATTCAAAACATAATATGATGAAAAAGTTTTCACCGATTTGAATGTGTTTGTGCTCTCAAAGAACTTTTTTAAAGGAAGCGAACAAAAAATCTTACATTAGAAATTTCAGACACTGAAAAATAGGGAGTGTACACCAAGAGAYCTATTGTTTATCTTTGTTTTATCCGGCAATTCTTCTTTAGTTGTATAAACACCCAAGGATGTATAGACTAGTATAGTCTAGTATGGATAATTGCTCTCATATGTATYTAGAGAGAGTCTTTTGTTTCAGCGTGAGACGAACTAAAAAGCTTTTGATTAAATTTTATTGTAATTTCTTCCGTGTTGCATTTCCTTAATTCTGTACAAGTCTACATACTCTAGTGTATCGCCATTAACTTTTCTTGCATTGATTGAAACCAATAAAAAGTCACTTAACAGCTTAAGGAATTTCCTTTATCTTTTAAGGACTAATTTGTGGCTAAGCGCTTATTGGTTACTTTTGGACCCTAATTACTCCCTATTCACTTGTAAACTATGGTATTTTGTCAAACAAATTGCTTAAAATTAGATCAAACACTCTGKGTAGAGTATGTGAGGGAACTCATTACAGAACCCCTCAAAGATGTACAGCTAAAAGAAACTTTAATTGATTACAAGACCCGATGAAAAACAATCTCATTTTTGTCTTGCACGACTCGCGTTTATTTATCCGATTTCCATTTCACTTCCACTTGTAATGAAATAAATTCATTTTATCAAAAGATACTCCGATTGATTGAATGAAAAATAAAACTAAAAGGGGATGATTTTCTCTCTGTGCATCCTTCATTCACTAATTATTCATTGATTCGTTCAATTTCACCCGGTTCAACTTAGCTTCTGTGACTTATTCAGATCTTTAGCCATCCATCTATTCAACATTATATTCATTCGTTTATCCATTATATTCATTCGTTTATCCATTATATTCATTCGTTTATCCATTTCAGGATATATTAAACTTAGATATTGCCTTGTATTCTTTTATTAGGTGGAACCTCAAGGATCTAAACTTGGCCCTCTACCAATCACAACCCATGGCAACGTTAATATTCAATAATTCCACAACAAGTGGAAACGTAACCCCAAGTGTAATTGCTAATAGTTCACCAAGCACAAAGACTGGCTTCACAATAGCAGTCGTAGTCGTACAAATCATCGTGATAATCGTCGCTCTTATTGGAAATATCTTAGTATGCTGCGCCATCTTGGTTTACGAACGTCTTCGGTCTACTTTAACAAACTATTTCATATTCTCGTTGGCTGTCAGTGATATCATTACAGCGAGCATCGCCATGCCTCTTGATGTTGACGTCATACTTAATAACCATCTCTGGACYCACGGGGAGGTGATGTGTAACATTTTTGTAACMGCGTACCTYGTCGCAGCGCCGTTATCGATGTTGAATCTATTAGCAGTSAGCGTGGACCGATACAGCGCCATTACGAACCCTTTYCACTATAATACCATGATGACGCGTAAGGTGGTTATAATAGCSATTATAGCACTATGGACCTATGCTATACTATTCACTGTCATTGCAATGCTTGGATGGCCCTTCTATCCCACTAGTGTATATAATGGTGTATGTACCTTTAATGTCCAGCCCGCCTATTCATTGGTCAGTTCCGTSATCAACTTCGTCTCRCCTACCATCATCATGTGCGTCCTTTATTACAAAATCTACAAAGTAGCTCATGCGCATGCTCGTAAAATCAATAGAAGGGAGAATTTCTCCCACACGCTTGTGGAATATACGAAMTCTMGCTCGTGCGCAGCAACTCCAACTGAACGCAAGAGCTTAAAGAGCTTGACTAAYAACATTAAAGCAGCYAAAACYATTGCACTTTTAGTATCGGGGTTCCTGTTTTGCTGGATGCCTTACACMTTGGCGTCTAGTATCTCAATCCTCTGCGGTCAAGCGTGCTACGAAAGTATGTCAWCTGATGTTTTTACAGTCACTTTACTCATTGCATATACCAACTCCGCACTAAACCCGTTCCTATATGCGTTCCATAACAGGGACTTTAGAGAATCCTTCAGACGACTCACTAAGCTAAAGTTTCATTATGTCTAGCTAGGGRATCTTGAGTCGTAAACTTCAACTTTTTGGGGTACCTTTTATGATGATTGACTTACGAAATTGCAATATAAAGAGTAATTCAGGAATTATAGCTACTCGGCAATGCGATATCGATATCCCTTTACCGTGAACAGTGCTTGGGCTACCTGTGCTTTWAGAACTCCCCAGTAAATATCTAGAATATCATTGCAAGCATTATTCCCCCTGTAAAAGGGCATAAAATCATTGTACATTAGGATCATAAGAGAGTATTTTGTATATGAGCGGATGGGGTGGAGTTCCTTTCCCTCCCATTGGCTTTACCCTGAATTTTGTTATATATATCAAGGCCGGACCACTCTCGAAATAGCGTGATTGCACTTTCTTGATAATAAATAATCAAATAAATARACTACATTCTGCAAGTTTTTCGAGTGAATATATATTCATGTCATTTTGAAATTAAATTTGTCTTGCAGCTGCGGCTATTGGCTTCTGTTAGAGCGCGCGTTAAATTTCCGCTGTATTAATCTCAGTCAGTACAGAACAGAAGATTTATTTGGTGCTTTGCAACGAGATACATTGGCATCATKCAAAAAATTACTTTGTTTGGAATTCTATTAATTTGCTTTGATTTAGTACCATGCTTGTCCTTCCCCCCTCCCAGCAGCAGAGAATAAGACGAACTATCATTGTCTAGCAGTTTTAAAGTCATAAGTTTAAATAATTTAAACTTAAAAGAATTAGTGACATCACTTTATTTCGTTTGATTGTGCGGTTGTTCAGTAGGAGAAGCGGCAGGTCAAAGATATTAATTAAATCAATCACACAAGCTGACAAAATAATGATAATTGAAATTTAACTTTTACTTATCAAAGTAGCATAAGTGTGCGTTTATATTACAAGTTGAGTATAGAAAGATTCTACAGTTTCTTRAGGGGACTTTTATTCTTCTTATGCTCATTTTTCTGGTTTCATTTCGTGGTATTCTTTCATCTTCTATTCCCAGTCTTGTCGTTGACCTAATTGAAAAAATAAACAAAATCTTAATCAATCAGCTTTTACAAATATATTAAGTCTTGAAATAGAACACTGAGTTGATTCTTCATACTTATTTGCATTTCTCTATCTGAAAGCAAGATGGCGAATGACTTTGAAAACTAGGATACAAAAATCGTTTCAATGTCACGCGGTGCATCACTAAACATAGCGCATTGTCACGCGGTCACAATTTTTTTCGGTCGTCACAGAGATCGAGAACATTGTAGATTTATGTAACGCTCGAAAACGTGGCCTATGACGGATCCATTTTTTTAACTTTAAAAGAGTTTATGGGGGAGGACCCAGGGGAAATTTTGGCCGGCACAGGAATCCCTGATGCATTGGATTTCACCGCAGGAATCGCAATTCCGTCAAGCAATTTGTCTTTTAAGTTGCTACATACTCCAATTTCCTTCTATTTTTCAGGAAAAAATAATAGTTTAGGAATACTCATTAAAAGAAATTAACTTTTTGACAGGGTCGATCTTGACCAGCCCGACACTCTCCAACGATCTGTGTTTGGTATCACGCTATATTTACCATGGCTTATCCCTGCATTTATACAGTTGTATTACAGGATTGCCTACATGATTGCCTAGGTATGCCTCACCAACCCTTTCTCGCCCTCCTCTCACCTCCCGTCTCACTGGAAAAAATCGCGCGCCATAAAGGTTGTAAATTTGATGGAAATATGATGTAAGTGTCCAAAACGATATAAATTTGATGGAAATGATTTACATCAAATTTACATCATTTTGGACACTTACATCATATATACATCAAATTTACAACCTTTAAAGCGCGCGATTTTTTCCAGTGTCTAAGTGTACTTTCGATGTTTTTGTGCAGTGACTGAACAAAGTGTGGGCGTTTGTCGCCGTGATTTCAATACCATACTAGTTATAATTGCTCCAGAACCTTCCTAGGACCTCCATTTTCAGCCAGCGAAAACATTTTAATTAGACAAAATGAATAGTGCGTCGTCTATCTATGTTGACAATATATTGTTGAGATTCTTTAAGTTTATATATTGGAAAACTGCAAATAAACTTGTAATACCGATAGTGTGAATACTTGGAGCCTTAGTTGAAATTTTGTCCGATTTTTAATCATGTCTATTATCAAACATTCTTATATTCMTTGAGTTGATGTTTTGTATAGTACTGTGATTYCGTGCTGCTATAAGATAGCCAATTGGRCGCCTCTACAATTAGTATTAGAGTCAAAATCAGGTCAAGCTATGCTGCTGAGAATGTCTCGTAATGAGTATTGTCATGTATGACTGTACTATATGCTTATTATACTGGTTTGATGTCATTTAATTATTTTGCTGAGAAAAAAAATGCTTTAGTAAGTATTGAAGTAGTTTTTCATTTGATCATTGCTTTTCTTTCTAACGCAAATTCATTTTTTTAAGTACATTRCTTATTAATTTTTTGCCATTAACATCATTACCGTTTTCATTAATATCCTTAGTATTAGCATCACGTAATTTAGAATTGTAGTTTAGCTACTACAGATACCTTTATCATTGTATATCATTATTTAGGGTGCCAAGCAATCAGCTCCTTGTAGATCTTAATGTTAGCGTGCAATAATGTTTCATATACTACATTATGACGTCATTCATCYTGCAATAATTTCTTTTTGTTTTTTACTCAGACGTCACTCATGACTCATATCACAAAACCCGGTATAGTGACTAATTCAAACATACTTTTCTTAAAGAATAAAAGGAAAGTTCGTGTTTGTTAACTATTTTTTTAATAACGAGACGCAGTAGATTTGATTATTGTAGACGGATATCGATGGGTTATAGCCTACGGCTACGTACAGCAATCTCCGCRAGTGTAATCTTCATATCGTACTCTTGTCCTTAACAATAACTGTTTACTAATGTTGATTATTCTTTATCAGTAATCTTCTTGTAGGAGACGCAACATTGTAGTTTTATTGAGGACTCAATGGCTGATTTGAATGACACAAGTTACACGACCCTATTTATAATAAAACTCAAACTATCGTATGAATTTTTTAAGAAGTTTATAGACATCTATCTCTGATATACCATGATATTTCGGGACCCTCAAGAGTTATTGCTTTATTTAAGGCAGATTTTGTTTTTTGTTTTTTCAACCAGAACTGAAAAAGGCCGTCCTCCTACCAGTCGACCCTTGAGCTGGAAATCCCCACAGTAATCATTGATTTGTTTTACAACTACTTTTATAAATCAAAAAGGTATATGGAAAATCAAATAGTACTCAAAAAAGCGTCTACCGATTGGTGGTATTTCACCAGTYTTAAATCAACTCTTAAACACGTGTTGACCAATGTTCGAACTTCTCTAATTCAAACAACGAGAACTCTTTCTGTAACTCTAAGATATGAATACTGACAATTAGTGTTTTGTTACCTTTTCGAACGTRTGCGCGACGATAAAAATCCTTGAAATACCTCAGAGCTCTCTCGGTGGAGTCCATGTCAGGTCGCTGGTAGTGGTCTGTTCTCATGTTTTTTAAAACATTTCGTCTTTGTTGTATTGTGTCTCGCCCCATTGTCCATTMCCCCGTAGCACCATTGCTTTTTGGTATATAGAAGAGAACTACAGCGAAAACTGCTAAAATAACAACCGTTTTGGAGTACATTGTGTATGGAAAYTCGGTTWCAATAGTTTTTWCGTATACAGTTWAGCTCCAGTTGAATCAAAAACTGAGGTTTATATAGTGTACCAATCAAACAAAGRGAACTGATCCGACCCACGTTGACTAACCTTAGCAATTGATTTAGAATAAACATGCGAATTAAAAATTAAGGAAACGGAATACCAAGCTAATCAAATATTAGCATAACAACTTATTGAGGGCGTCTTTAAGCGTTAATAGTTAGCCACGAAATTGTGCCGGCTTTGTCATTTTCTCTTAATTGCTACACTTTAACAAAATCGACGTGAGAATTTGTATTAAAAAACTGGTTTAATATCGTATTTTTAGTGCTTGCTTAGAGATAGTAATCCATTTACACGTACTTGAGAAATCTTGATATTGGCCATTCATCGATTGCTCATCAAAGGACATTTATCTCGCAGGAGGAGACGGAACAGAGTTGAACGTTGAGCCATCTTACTGGTTTGGTTATAATAATAAAATATACTTCGCTGAAAAAGTATAATAACAACTCCTAAATTACAATAATGTGAAATTCAACCACATTTTTGGCATTACTTAAAAATAAATCAGTGTTTTTTTACCGGAGTGCCAATAATAGTGTTAAAAACACCTGTGGCTTATCCAATAGTCTCTATAAAAAGACTAGGAAAGCAAACTATTGCTTTATAGTATTGCCTATATATATAGTTTATGATAAAAAAGAATCGATTGTTTATGTTTYGGTTAAGGTAAAGACCAAAGACATTAAAGCTGTATTTCATATGAGTAATAAAATCGCCACCGGAATCGGAAAAATATTATTATACGAAACGTTCTGCGTATTGATAAACGTTGCCCTTAAAAGACCATAAATAATACTTATTTTACTTCTCATAATGAAATGACATCAGAAACTAGTGATATCTGCCCAGTGATAGTAACTACTCTTAGTGAATTGTGAATGGGATATACTCAATGATGCCCTAATTGTTATATTGTAATAACAGAAAAAGAGAGTGGGCTCGCAAAGGGCCAAGAACGTAAATTAAAAATACTAAATACTATTATAAACTCTCATTTCACGAAGTTTATGATTGGAATTGTTTTATTCTCACCCTTTTTTTATTATTTTACGATAAGAAAAGAAACTGAGAAAAGTGGGTCAAAAAAGGAAACTGTCATTTTTTCGTCGTCTCTTCCGGTCATTCTCCGTCGACTTTCTCTCTTGGGGAAACTTTAAAATTGTGTTGTTTGTAACATATACAGATAATTCAATGATATCTTGGGTATGGATTATTGGGACTTTTACTTCACTTTTCAAATTTCCTATATAGGGCCATTTAAATTACAGGTATCCAACTTGATAATCTTACTGTTAGTGCTGAGTAGCTGTAATTGCCTGATATCTTATCATTGACAACCATTGTAAATACAGAAAAAGAGGCAATAATGTACAACTGGGAATATTCATTCATCTGTAATATAAAAGGCTTCTTTTTGTAACAAATCGCACGTCCTCTCTGAATCATAACAAGTCCTACACGTACTTCCTTGATAAGTACGTGAAAAAAATAAAATAAATAAAAGTGAAAGAAAACATTTATTATTAATAACCCTGTCATTGTATTTGGACAATAATATATCTTTAATATCTTTTCCTGGAATATCAATCTAAATATAATGAAAACTCGGCTCTAGCAAACCAACATAGTCAGTGCTTTTAGTGAGAGTTCTGATCGTATATTTTATCTTAGGGTGTTCTTATCAAGTTACAACGCCGACGCTATTAATATAATTATAACTGTTTGTTTTCCAAATAGATTTTGCGATAAATTACAATATACTCTCAATATTCATTATTAATATACAATAAAACCAAGAAATGCAATTATTGAAATAATAGAACTATTATGGTTTTCCCATGCACGGAAAACTATGTTCTTGTTACAAACCTATCCCGTTACACTGGYAAAAATCGCGCGCTTTAAAGATTGTAAATTTGATGTAAATATGATGTAAGTGTCCAAAATTCTATAAATTTAATGGAAATCATCTACATCAAATGTACAACCTTTAAAGCGCGCGATTTTTTCCAGTGTTACTGACTTTTTTTTAAGGTGGCTGGTAGGGGTAAACAAGCCTTTTCTTATAACTTATGAAATCCAGAACGTTTCTTAGGATTTGTATCGTTTTAAGCGGTGTGGATCAGTCCGGGAAGTAATCATTTCAAGTATTTTGTGAATGCCAGTCCACAAAAATCTTGAAAATCACTCAGACCAGAGAATACCAACCAGTGGGGTTAGTAAATAGATATCTGACCCACGGAAATATCCATTTCAGGCGCGATTATCAATCCCAACCACTAAATGACAATCTATCAATTATCAATTAAGGATCATGCTTTATCTTGTCTTCCTTTTTCCTGCGGTACWCACAGAAGGCTTTACATCCGTTATCAATTACCGATCCTCAAAAAATCTTGTTKTTCAAATAAAAACCACTTGTTGGTTTTCTTGAACCGTTCGCCGTCGTTAACGTCATCTTTGATATATATTAAGTAACATTTTARACTGTTATACAAGGATACTGAGACGCAGGTGTGGGACTTAGACCTATAGATTCGCGTCATTGTAAGCGCGCGATTTGATTGGTCCAGTYGCGTTCTTTATTTCACCTTTTGATGTACGCTCTCGATAAAAGGAATATGAATGGACTGCCTGCGGTTATCTGTGAAATAAGAATATGCGGATGCTAGAAAACACGAAAAAAGTCCTTAAAACCGATTCGTTTGTGGAATTCACATCAGCCACTCGTCATGAATTTTTTATAGGTACGAAATTCACCTCGTTCGCTACCCTGAGACGGCGTGTTCTAAGAATGTAATTGTTCTTGTATTTTATCAATAAAATGATCTCTATAAATGCTATATTTTTACATYTAAGCGCAGCAGAAAAGTACTCAACGTTTTGCATGATTGAATGTTGGGTTACCTGTGGTAATTGAAAGTTAGACAGTGCATCTGTCATGTATGCAAACCGCCTGATCTTACCCCGACTGAGTTCTTTCTTTTCGATCCGAAACATGTCATCTCTTAAGATAGAAGGCCAGGGCTTTGGAAGGACTGTGGCATTGAATAGCGGTCACAAAATACCCATGTTTGGCCTTGGATTCTTCTTAAGCAAGCCTGAAGAGTTAGCGCGGAATGCCGCCATCACTGGTCTGCATCATGGCTACCGTTTGTTGGACACAGCTGTTTTGTACGAGTAAGTCTTTTAAATTTAAAGATTTGGTCGTTTCAACTACGTTAAAAATATAATTCTTTAATTTGTAATATATAAATAAAAAACTTTCNAAGCATAGCCTGGTACCGAAATAATACGCTTGTGCGCATGCTCAATGTCTTATGCTTATGTCGAGCCCGTTCTCACTGGCYCATAWGATTCTKATGCRRGTGRTTATGCTATGCTTATGCGCTAGTGAAATCCACGCTTTAATATTGTTGMTTTTTTGTAGGAATGAAAAAGAAGTTGGTGAAGGAATACGGAAATCAGGAATAAATAGAAAAGATGTTTTTGTTGTTACAAAGATTGGTCCGTATGCCAAGAAGCATGGTTATGATCAGGCTATTAATGGTGTTAAGACGAGTTTAGAGAGGTAAATCATAATAGGCTCCCTCCTGGGTAAGGTAGTTTTCCCTATGGAGTCAGGGGGGCTGCAGGGRGTGGGATTTGCTAGGGGGGAGTTTGGTATTGCTTGGTGTATACTGTATATTTTACCAGGATCAGACTGATTGAACACCAAATAGAATAGACCCAGAACATTCAAGAAAACTGGCCCAAGATGTGATAGATGTCTTTGTTAATGGCAGGGTTGTAGAAACCATGCAGCATATTGYTGGACCCATGCCTTTAATAATGGACATAAACCTTGTTGCTTAAAGTGTCATTCTAACATAAACATTGTTGTTGTTTTTTAGTTTAGGCACAGGTRACATWGACCTTATGCTCATTCATACTCCAACACCAGGAAAACTCTTAGCAACTTACGATGGACTATTAAAGATGAAAGAAGAAGGACTTGTCAGGTTAGTGTAATCTATTTCCCTATTTTTTTTTATCCATCCTTTCATCCATTCATTTCATCCATTCATTTACCTTTTCAGTCAATCATTTTTTCATTCCCAATTTATTTGTAAGCCATTTTTTTTTCACTTGTGATTATATCTTGCTGCACCCTTTCTTGTTGTAAATTTTTGTACTCAATCTTTACAGATCTGTTGGTGTGTCCAATTTTGGTGTTCATCACCTTGAGGAACTGCGTAAAGCTGGAAAACCAACACCAGCTGTCAATCAAATTGAATTAAACTGCTTCTGGCGCAAGGAAGATATTGTGGAGTATTGTCATAAACATGACATAGCAGTAATGGGWTATAGCCCATTATTCCGAAATAGAAAGTCTGATGATCCAGTACTTGTTGAAATGTCTAAAAGGTGAATAAATTAAAGTTTTAAACTCCTTTAATAACTCTTGGA